ATATATCACAGAGTCACAGTCACATGTACATACACATACTTACACATATAGGCAAACACCAATGCACACATAAAGAGATCAGTTACTCAGTCTTCTCTGATCACAAGCAAATCTTATAACTTCCCAATGTCAAAAAGACTGTTCTTTGGTATGGGATGTCCTTCTGTTTATGTGTTGCTTTTATTGGTTAATGAAAAAAGTACTGCTTTGGGCCTGCACAGGGAATAGAGGTAGAGGGACAGCTAGGAAGAAGGCTGGGAGAAAGGAGGCAGAGTCAAAGAGATGCCATGGAGCCACCAGAGACAGATGCTGGGAATTTTACCCAGTAAGCCACAGCCTTGTAGCAATACACAGAATAATAGAAATGGGTTCAATTAATATGTAAGAAGTTAGAGCTAATGGGCCAAGCACTGATTGAACAAAAACAGTTTCTGTGTCGTTATTTCGGGGCTGAGCAGCTGGGAACCAACAAGCGAGCTCCTTGCTACAAATTGGCACCAACATGGTAGACTAAATTCATGTAAAACCTGAGAGGGCTTGAAAAGGAATTCTAGCCACAAAAATACAAAGTTTAACACAGTTTCTTGCTGTTTGCTGGTGGCGTGTCACAGCTACTTTAAGAGAGGTTTTCCTGATTCAGCAGTAGCAGGGAAAAGGTTGCACCATTTTGAAATGTTGGCATTCTATGTCATGCTACCAGCACAAACTCTGACTCTTTCAGACAGGAGGTTTGGCTACAGAGCATTTTGATGGGGTTTATGAGCAGCATGCTGTGGTTTGCTTGATGGCAACATGGACTGGCTGTGTGCCTGAAAATGGGGCAGTGTGTGCTGCTCAGAGGTGCAAGTGGCTCTGCCATGCTGGACTGGGTGGGGCAAGCAGAAAGTACCATATATACCCTAGTAATGGCACAGCTTAAGTTTTTAAGGAGCACTTAGCATTTTAAGAAGTGCTCCTGGACAGTAAAGGGTTACAGATACACAAAAGGACAGATTCAGACAGATATAGACCTCTAAATGAGTCACAGTGTTGGATAAGTGTACATAGGCTTGGAAGAGAGAATAAAATGAGTATAGAGAGTTATAAAAGGGGCAAAGTACAGACAATCATAGATTAAAGGAGTAAAGATAAAAGGAGTAAAGATGATAAAATAAATATTAAAAATTAATTAAAAAAAACAAGCCACATAAAGATGGAGAATACACAGAAAGTCTGGATTGTGTATAATATTGTGGTTTTTTAAAAATTTTTGACTATGAATAAGCTAAGTACAGAGAGACATTTCATTGTATGGGCTGCTAGACTAAACCAGCATTATATTATAAAGGTATCTTGATTTCAAAATATGGATCTAAGAATATATTGCTTTGGAAAAGAGATTCTTCTTTTGTCTCTACAGAGGATAAGAACTTGTGGATTCATTCTAATTTTTTTTGTATCTGTTGAGGTTTGTTTTGTTACTGAGTATGTGTTCAATTTTTGAGAAGGTTCCATAAGGTGCTGAGAATAAGCTATATTCTTTTCTGTTTGGATGGAATATTCTATAGATGTCTGTTAAGTCCATTTGAGTCGTAACATTTGTTAGTTCCATTATTTCTCTGTTAATTTTTTGCCTGACTGACCTATCCAGTGGTGAGAGTGGGGTGTTGAAGTCTCCCTCCCAGTATTAGTGTATGGGGGTTAATATATAATTTAAGTTTTAGAAGTGGTTTTTTTTTTTCTTATGAGGGTGCCCTTGTATTTGGGGCATAGATGTTCAATACTGAGATTTCCTCTTGATGGATTTTTCCTGTGACTAATACAAAGTGTCCCACTTTGTTTCTTTTGATTGATTTTAGTTTGAAGTCTATTTTGTTAGATATTAGGATAGCCACACCAGCTTGTTTCTTAGGTCCATTTGATTGGAATTTTTTCCCCAACCCTTTACTCTGAGGCAATGTCTGTCTTTGAGGTTGAGGTGTGTTTCTTGTATGCAGCAAAAGGATGGATTCTGGTTTTGTATCCAATCTGTTAGCCTGTGCCTTTTTATAGGTGACTTGAGTTCATTTATATTAAGGGATATTAATGACCAGTGATTTCTATCTCCTGTTAATTTAGTTTTCATTGGTGGTGATGTTAATTTGTGTGATTTTCCCTTCTTTGGGATTTGCTTCTGTGAGGTCATCAATTGTCTATGTTTTTGTTGATGTAGCAAACTTTCTTGGGTTGGAGTTTTCTTTCCTGTACTTTGTATAAGGCTGGGTTTGTGGCTAGGCATTGGTTAAATCTGGTTTTGTCATGAAATATCTTGTTTTGGCCTTCTATGGTGATTTAAAGTTTTGCTGAGTATAGTGGTCTGTGCTGGCATCCATAGTCTCTTAATGTCTACATAATGCTTGACCACGACCTTCTGGCTTTCATTGTCTTCAATCAGAAGTCAGGTATAATTCTGTCAGGTCTGCCTTTATATGTTACTTGGCCTTTTTCTTTTGCAGCTCTTAATATTCTTTCTTTATTCTGTATGTTTAGTGTTTTGATTATTATGTGGCAAGGGGACTTTTTTTTTTGATCCAGTCTATTTGGTATTCTGTAAGCTTCTTGTATCTTCATACACATATCTTTCTTTAGGTTGGGAAAGTTTTCTTCTACAATTTTGTTAAATATATTTTCTCTGCTTTTGAGTTGAACATCTTCTCCTTCTTCTATACCTATTCTTCTTAGGATTGGTCTTTTCATGGTGTTCCATATTTCCTGGATATTTTGTGTTAAGCTTTTGTTAAATTTAATGTTTTCTTTGACTGGTGAGTTTATTTCCCCTATTGTATCTTCAGCACTAGGTTGCTGACTCAGTCCTCCTCCTGTAGAGCTCACACCTCAGGCCTGTCCAGCCTAGTTCACTGGCCTAGTCCTGCTTCTGCAAATGACCCTGGTTTGGATCCATTCCTGCTCCCATGGAGCTCACCATTCCAGGCCCACTCAGGTCCAGGTCACTGTCTCGGTCCTGCTCTTATGGAGTTTGCTACCTCAGGCCTGCTCTGGCCTAGGTTGCTGGCTCAGTCCTACTCCTGTGGAGTTCGCTGCCTCAGGCCATTCTCCAAATAAAGTGTTACTTGACTTTGTGATTCGTATATTGCTTTACAAATTTTTTTATAAAGCACGTGACTTTTGCAGCCACGCAAACAGCCAACTCCAAGATCACTGCAATTTTTCACTACTGAATTATCATCCCTCCAAGACATGTTTTTTTTTTCCTTTCTAAATTACTGGGTTAGGAATTTAGATTGGAGGAACAGCAATAACAACAAGGTCTCCAGGGTCCTGTTATGGTTTCAGTCTGAAATGTCTCCCACAGGCTCATGTTTTGATTGCTCAGTCCCCAACTTGTGGCACTATTGTGTAAGGGAATGGAGCCTTTAGGAGAGATATCCAGCCACTAGGTTTGGACCTTTGAATGCTATGGTCTTTGCTTTCCATGCTTTGTTACATGAACAGCCTTTCACCTTCATGGCCCTATACTTTCCTCACTATGATGGACTGAAAGTCCTCTGAAACCAGGAGCCAAAACAGCCTTCTTCCATTAGGTATTTTGTCACAGTTGAGGAGAAATATAAGCAAGACAGGTCTTGGTTTCAGTACCATAAACTGGTGAATTACGAACAACAGCAATTTCTTTCTCATGGTTGTAAAGTCCTAAGTTCCAAGCATAGGAGCCATCATGGTCAGATGCCATCAGGGTGAGGACCTCAACAACATTCAATCACAACATCAGGAAAAAAGGGGTGTGTGTGTGTGCATGAGTATGCATGTGTGTGCGTATGTGTGGGAGTGCCTGTGTGTGTTCATGTGCATGTATTGTGTGCATGTGTGTAGGCATACATGCATTCATGTGTGTGTGCATGCATGCATGTGTATATCCATGCGTATGTGTGTCTGTGTGTGCATATGTGTGCGTGTGTGTGCATGTGTGTGCATTTGTATGTGTGTGTGCATGTGTGCATATGTGCATGGAGGTGGAGGGTATGATATGATAGATGGGGACCCTGAAGCATCAATGCCCATGACTACATGGGCAGAGTTGTTACCCTAGTTTTAGGTACACTGAAACTTATGACAGATTCTCAAGGACCATGTCTGGGAAACCAGTTGTAAAGACAGTACTGGTTTTTTGGCTTTGAGATAAAATTTTCTCTAAAACTGTTCCCTGCTTTCTTTCTATGCAATCCTATAGGGGGATGCTGCTGGAATTAACATTCTGAAGACGCTGCTTTAGTTCTGGATAATTTTCCCAGAGTTGGGACAAAAGGCTCACCACGCACTCTTCTGCTTACCTCAAGTCTAAGAACAGGTAAAGACAGTTTGATTCTGTAACTCAGAAGTGTGGTTCCCCTGGGCTGTAAGATGTAGCGCACCACGCCCACCTGTCTGTGCTCTATGCGTTGCCATACAGTTTGTGAACCGGGCAAGGGGACTGGAGATTGAAACACACAAAGACACACAGACAGAGACATGGGTCATCCTTGAAATAAGAATGCCCCCTTATTGTATACCAGAGCCGTTTATATAGAGACTTTTAACTGATAGCCACACCCCAGCCAAACGCACCAGAAACCACTCCCCTGCCAGCAGCTTAGAGCAGCTGCAGGCTGTCTCAGAGCAGAGGAAAACAAGTTGTTTACAAGAACTTCAGGATCTGGGATTCACAGCTCCCAACAGTAGGACAGAAGTGAGAATGCAGGGACTCGGGATACACATCATGTGGGGGTTGCCAACGAGCAGAATACTTCAACATGTAGCTCTCCCTAAATACACCTGAGGAATTAAGACAGAGAGCAAAATTCTCCTACAATGTCAGAGGTTCCTGTAGTCTAGGCTTATCTTCATCTCCTAAGGATGGCTCCTTAAGAGTTCCCCATAATGATAATAGCATTTTAATTCTCAAATCACAGATCTGTCTTGATTTAAGGAGAAACAAATTCTCCTAGCTTCACATTTCTTTATAACCAGCACCCTGAGGAAGTTGTGCCGTGGTTCCTCAAACTCTACAACCTCATGAAGAGGATCATGATGTGATGCACCATCCCCCTGTAATTAGCACATACAGGATCCTGGGAGAAGGTCCTCTCTTTGCAGACACCCAGAACAGGAAGTAAAGAAGTACAGGTTCCCTACCAGGACCCTCCCCACCAGCCAGGAGGCCACTTGGTTGCAAGATTCTACTGAGGATGATCTGGAATGTGAGATGGAAACTGAGGAATCTGAGTAATAAACCCAAGGCAACGTGAGCCTCAAAACTCAGACAAAAACACATTATCTGTAAACCGAGTGCTACTCCATGTAAAATCTTGTTTAAAAAAAAATCCCTATCACTGCCTGAAAAAGAAAACCCAGTTTCCACACAAGCCCGTGCAGTTACCAGCAGCAAGGGAAATGGAAAAACTGCTATCAAAAACAAAAATAAAAATCCTGCCAGCCAGTGAGTGTCGACCTGGTAGAACAGCCCTAGGAGGGAAAAAAAAATCACTGCAAGGGATGCCCTATTTCACATCCCCTGCCAACCAGATTGTCACATAAACTCTTCCAACCAGAATCCTAGAGCTCATGACGCTCCTCGCCACAAACACTGACGAATGGAGACCAGGGCGGAACCTTTAAATTGTGCTTTATTCAGAGACCGAGTGAGCTGAGAAGACAGTGTAGTAAAACCAGCTCTAGAAAAAATGGGCTTACGCATCGTCTCCAGCCAGCAGACTTTACAGGTGGGAGAGGCACGGCGATAGCAGTTATTTATCCCAGAGCTGAGTCTTAGTCTCCTAATGAGGTGGTCGGCCACACTCCTGAGATTTATGGTGGCCATGTCATCCCTTCCACTCTTTGCTTTGGAGGTACTGAGTCTAGTAAGCACAGGCTGGTACCGCCTCACACGCCTCCAGGAGCACCCGGGCTGGGAGGTTAACTCAAAACAAACCAACCCTTAGCTGTGTTTATGTGCGATTAGTAACATGTCTGTGCAGATGCTTTCTACAATACGAAGCACACATGTGTTTATAAAGTGGGATATAAAACTGCACTTATCAGTCCCTCCTGTTCCCCCATCACTCAGGTATAGATATTCTGGGGCCAGTGGGTGGAAACTCCCTGAATTCCCATCGTAATAACCCTACGTGTGCTTACAATATCCTGAGAACTTTGTGTGCACTCTTTAGCGTCCTCAGAAGGCTGGGTGATGCAATGGATGAGATTTTTCCAGAAGATCATCTGGCAGCATTATTCAGGAGGTACTGAGAGCGGGGAGATTCGAAGCAGAAAATGCTGCTGGGAGGCAGGAACCGTGTTTAGGCCTCAGGGAGGCAAAACGGAGAGGTGAAGGGTAGAAGAAGGTGGTAGCGTTAGGCTGAGGAGCAGAGGGGCTAGCTCTGGTCTCACTCACCCACAGCACAGAGAATTCTTCTGCAAGCGAGAGTGATATGGTGTGAACAAAAAGCGGGGTCAATGGAAGGATACTGAGGAAGGAGAGCAGGGAGATAAGAAACAGGAGCGAATGGGGAAAATCACACGTGCATGAAAAGGCCATCAGGAGATCTGCTACTTCTTTATGTTAATTAAATAATAAAAGTTGCGTCGGGAGGTTGTGTGTGTTGGGAAGACCAGTTTGGCAATCCACTTAAGTGAACCACAATGCTTGCATGGTTGAAACTGAGAAGGAATTCTCCTGGGTTCAAGACCATTTACAGTTCGGTTGTTTGTTTTTCTTCGGTTCGGTTTGGTTTGGCTAAGCATGGTACGTCGTCAGAGTGGCAAGTGGAAGATGATTTACGGGAATAAGAGCCTGAGACATCAGTCCTCCTCCAGGGCAGCAGCAATGGGGATGAGGACAAACAAGCTCCTCCCACTCCCTCTTAAAGCCCTAGTCGGGTTTGTACCAGATACCACCAGTGGCCACAAACTGGCAACACGGCTTGACTTCACCAAGGGTTAAGTTCAAGCAAAAAGGATTTGTCTTCTAGGTGTCCAAATACCAGTGAAGCAGAATCTTTCTGAGACACACTGCTTACTGTAAAGTAGCTAATATTCATTCAATGTGGCAGCCTGAATAAGAAGGGTGCCCACAGGCTCATATATTTGAATGTTTGGTCCCCAGTTGGTGGAACTGTTTGGGAAACATTAGAACACGTGGCTTGTTGTGTTCTCTTACACACCTCCAAAGTTCCCGCACTTGGTCCCTGAAGGACTGACAGTGCCATGTAAGGTTAATGGGAAGGGCTTTTTTTCTCATTCCTATCAACAGGCAACTGTTTATTCATTAAGAGCTTGCAAGCTCAAACTCAAAGGCTGTGGTCCAGCAGCAGCTTCCACAGTGCCCCCTGTAGTGGCAAGCGAGTCCATGGTCAGGGACCGGGAGGGAAGCCCTAGCTTTGCAGGTCAGGGCCTCGAAGTCAATGGGTGCAGCACGAGCAAAGTCCAAGAGAGCTTTCCGGCACGGCTGGTGTTTGCAGTTATTAGTGACGCACAGGTTAGGGGAAACTGAGTCATATCTCAGCCTCCTTCCCATTTCCTGGGAATCTGGATATACCGTCATCACACGCTCTCAGACCTGCGGAAGGATGACATATGGCAAGCCTGGTACAGCCTCTTAAAAGAGAAAAGGCCAAGAAGCAGAAGAAAGCCAGGAGTTAATCAACGACAGAGCTAAGGGTAAGGTTCACCTTGCACTTCTGGACTTCCACACAGTGTCCATCCCAGAAGGCAGTGAGGTTGTTCTTGATTTCATCTCATTCCTCACAACTTGAGGAACAGCTGCGCTGGGGCCTGATGGCCACTCTGAGCAGCTTCCAACAGCTAGGTTTGCAGTTAGAGCCCGAGCTACACCTCCTAAACTAATGAGTTTAAACTAACTTCACTACGTGGTCACCAGGCTGTTGTTAGGTCCTGAATATCAACTACCCGGATGACCTCTAAGACCGGCTCTGGGATGGTTAATACAGACAGTCCACAGTCCACCTGACAGACCTGGTATCAACTAGCAGACAAACCTTTGACTGTATCTGGGAGGGCATTTTACACTGGATTCCGTGAATGGGGCGGGGGGGGGGGGTACCATTCTGCGGACTGGGGATCCAAGACTTCATAAAAACAAGAAAGCGAACTGAGCAACAACACCCATCACTCTATTTCCTGACTGGGTCGGAAGTGTGCTCAGCTGCCCGATGTTCCTGTGGAGACTGAACAGAGTCCTGAGTGAATGTGTATCGGCGACAGGAGCACAGCCACTGGGTGTCAAAGACACCAGTGCCTCAGAGCTATGGGAACGGCAAAGCCTTCCTCTGGTCCAAGCACTGAAGGTACAAGTCATTGCATTTAAATAAGAACATGTGTGCAGAAACCTCCTCCTCCCAAATGATTGCTAGCTGAAACTCCTCCCCTAAGGCAGGGGTTCTCAACCCTTTAGTGCAGTTCCTCCAGTTGTGGTGACCCCCCCCCCCAACTATCATTTTGTTGCTACTTCACAGCTGTAATTTTGCTACTGCTGTGAATTATAACGTAAATATCTGATGTGCAGGATATGTCTTATGCAGCCCCTGTGGGGGTTGCAACCCACAGATTGAGAACCACTGTCCCACAGAGCCTCCTACCCAGATTTGCTAACCCACCTCCTGCTTGTTCCACTGCGTACAATAAACCTGTCTTCTCATTCAGCCGTATACAGTAAACCTACTCTCTCGCTTGGCAGTATGTAATAAACATGCTGAGTCTCCAGGATGTCATTGGTGTGTCTGAGCAGAGTGCACAGCCCATGTGATCTGAGCTTTCCTGTACATGTATCTGTCCTTTCATTGTTCCTGTTGGGTCGATCTCTAAAGCCGAGTAGGTCATGGAGCTTGCTGACCTTGCCTTGCTTACCATTGGACGGTACCTTCAAATTGCACTCTCTCCCCTAGGTTGCAAAATAAGCCCTCTCTCCCTTAGGTTGCTTCTTGTCAGACATTTAATGTCAGCAATGAGACAGGAAGCACTACATCGAGCAAGCTGGGAAGCAAGCAGACTCCCTCAAAGGGTTTCCTGATGAGGAAATGCATACACATTTTGACATAAAATAAGAACTCAACTTTAAAAGAAAATGGTTTATTCAGAGACAAATATGAATGACCACAGCTCAAGGGCATGCATTCAAATTGCCCTGAAATGACTTGTCCCACAGTAGATAAAGTTGTATAGTCACAGAACAAAAAAGAAATCATAAATCAACACATGTCCCAGTTACATTGATGGGATCAGTGTTAAGCTCCAGAATGGCAGAGCAATCTAGTCTACAAGACTCGTGTGTCATCTTAACAGTATCCTTAACTATCAGGTTGCTGGAGGCCAGAGTCTGCCAGGCTTTGTTGTGTATTCTCAGAATTATCTTGTAGCGGTGAGGGTCCAAGGTAAAATGCAGAAGTTGGCAGTAAATGACTCTTAAAAGGAAGTAAAAATAAGCCCAAGCCAGCTTTGGCTCTTGACTTTTGCCTTTCCAGAATCACAAAGTTCTAGATGGCTGAGGTCAGAAAATCTATAGCTTGCTCGATATTGATGTGACTTGGTCAGAGAACTTCAGTTTGTACAAACAAGCTAACATCTTGAGATTTTATTTCCCAGCTCACGCCAAACTCTAGAGAGGAAACTGCGGCATGGAGAGATGCTGCAGGGACAGACAGTCCTCTGTCATTCACCTTAAGATTTTCTCCTCAGCCCTGGACCCCACTGGAGACTGGTTCTGATGTTCCTCCAGTTCTCCACGGCCCTTCATCTCCCTACAAGTAATGAATAAAACAAATGGCTTCTATTCATTCATGAGAGTCCCCAGTTGGGTGGTACCATGGGGCTTCCTTGTCCTTTATTCTACACCAAGTGAACTTTGTTTCTGTAAAGCTTCAGAAGCTGGAGGCTGGAAGAGAGGTGTGTGCTGCCTACCTGATCTGAGTGCTTTGGGTGAAAAGCCCTGATTTCAAGAAAAGAATATCTAATAGACCCATCTGGGCTGTGGAAATGGATAGCTCAGCTCTAAAAGACAAATAAGTGGTGTAGGAGGTCCTTCTGTCTATGTGTTGCTTTCATTGGTTGAATAAAGAAACTGCCTTGGCCTTTTGATAGGACAGAACTTAGATAGGCAGAGTAGACAGAACTGAATGCTGGGAAGAAGGGCAGAGTGGCAGATATCATGGGTCTCTTGCCTGAGAGAGACGCTGGTTAGAATCTTGCTGGTAAGCCACAATCATGTGGCGATACACAGATTAATAGAAATGGGTTAAATTAAGATGTAAGAGTTAGCCAATAGGAAGTTAGAGCTAATGGACCAGGCAGTGATTTAATGAATACAATTTCTGTGTGGTTACTTCGGGTGTGAGCTAGCCGGGCAGCTGGGACAAACAAAGGACATGCTCCACTCTCCTTGTGCAACAAATAAGGGATAAGAATGTAGCTCGGTCACTGGAGTGCTTACCTGATGTGCATAAAGCCTGGGTTCCATCCGTAGTACCACATACCTGTAATCCCAGCACTCAGGAAGTGGAAGCAGGAGGATTAAGAGTTTAAGATCATCCTTGGCTACATAATGAGTTCAAGGACAGCCTAGGGTACAGGAGAACTGTGTGTGTGTGTGTGTGTGTGTGTGTGTGTGTGTGTGTGTGTGTGTGTGTAAAGCTTCTACAGCTCTTTACTTTTAGAATCCTTGTTTATTATGTGCAAATTCATCAGCCTTAGAGCTACTGTTTCTGTGATGTAGTAAGAGGGAAGCTTACGGTGATTTTTCAAGCTTTGGGACCACTTTGTGTAGAAGGTTTTTCAGGAAATCCAGACCTGCCAGGAACCAGGAATCTGGGTGTGTGCAGATATTCACATTGGCCTGGATGGTCATGGAACAGTCCGGAATTCCACATACCTGACCCACCCTAAACTCAGTATTTTGGTTAGGTGTGTTCTGTGCCACCTCATCACTAACCCTGTGGTTTTCAAAAGCCTCCTCCCTGCTCCTGTTCCACCAGGTTCCTCTTTCCCCAGAGGGGTCTATTGCTTGGGGCCAAAACAAATATTGAGAGTTGGAATCGAACAAGACTTTTCCGAGGGAGGGGCAGCCTGGTGCCTGTCCCTCTACAGTCTGCATTCTCTCTCCTCTTTCATGTTAGCTGCACACCCCAGCTGGAATAAGGGTATCTCCCCCAGCTTCTGACTGTGAAGAGTCTCAAGTTTCTTTAGATTGGCAGCAAAAAGGAGACACTGCAGCACTGAAAAATAGTGTGTCCTTTCATCTGACTCAGACCACAAAGCACCATCATCCGCAGATACAGAGGAATCAGTCCTTCACTGTGTTCCACCGCCTCAAATGTGAGCCTTTCCGCTTTGCAGCAAGATGCGAGAAAAAATGAACAATAAGACTCCAACCAGGACATGGTTAACCATGGTTTCTGATTTCCTTAAACAGATTTATTGGCTTCGGGGCTATGGAGATAGCTCAGGAAAGTGGCTATCTGGCAAGAGCAAGGATGTGATCTTTATGTCTAGAATTCAAGCCATATATGGATTGCACACTTATAATTCCAGCAATGGGAAATCAGAAACATTCCTGAAGGCTCACCGACTGTCAGTCTTGCCTACTGTGTGAGTTCAAGGCCAGTAAGAGACCTTGTGTCAAAACTTAACAACGTAGACTGTTCTTGAAGAACAGCATCTGAGGTTGCCCTCTGGCATTCAACATGTGTGCATATACATGCATGCATACACTCACACATTTATACACACACACATGTATCTTGTGACCGGAGGTATAACTCAATGACAGGCCATGAGTTTAGCATGCATGAAACCCTGGGTTCAATCCATGAAACCAAACTAGTTTATTAAGTAGCTATTACACAATTTTAACTTGTATTAGTTATCTCTGTTAGTACCATTCTTCCCTCGAGAACATCAGTGGCCCATATCTGACACTACTAAGGTGGTGAACGGGAAGTAATCCAAAACAGCCTCCCAACTGTGATATAGATTACATGAGATGAGGTCTTTCGATGCCTGGCAAACAGTCAGCATGCAGTAGACAGACTCTGGCTTATAAACACAGCTCATGAAGCTTTCTCAGATGACCTGTGGTGGTTTGAAAGAAAATGCGCCCCCCACAAAGGGAGTAACACTATTAGGAGTTGTGGGCTTGTTGGAGGAAGTATATCGCTGTGGATGTGGGCTTTGAAGTCTCCTTTGCTCAAGCTACATTCAGTGTGGTACACAGTTCACTTCCTGTTGTTTGCGGTTCAAGATGTAGAATCCTCAGCTCCTTCTCCAGCACCAGGTCTCCCTGCGCACTGCATGACTGTGTGCCATGATTCCTGCCAGGATGATAATGGACTAAACCTCTGAAATGTAAGCTGTTCCCAATTCAGTGTTTTCCTTTATAAGAGTTGCTGTTGTCCTTGTCTTTTCACAGTAATAGAAACCCTAAGACACCACCCATGGCTGACCAGCTCTTTCTTCTGTCCACTCCCTGGGCCTCTATTTCAGCACCTGTCATGGGTAAAAAGTTCAATGAGATGCTTTGTCTTTCCCAGTGTCCAGAAAAGTGCTGTGCCACAGGAAAGACTAAAAACAACAACTGTCTAATTGATCCTGGATGTTCTCTGCCCACAATACTGGGTGTTCTCAATTCTCTGCTCCACATGGTCTACCCTCTCCCTCCATAACTGAGCGCAGTGGGTTAGCAACTCAGTGACCAACAGATATGAGTGGATATTTACACCTGCAGCAGGTAAGGAGAGTATGGCTACCATTTCCAAAGTAATGTCCTCCTCAAACCAAGGTCCTATGGGAATTTTATTTAGGAGACCCTATATACTCATATAGGAAAGTATTTTAGGAGGGGTTGCATTCCTGAGTGTGGTCAGTTTACAGTGATGGTTTAAGACAGGAAGATAATGGATACCCCTCTGAGCATGTATCATGTGCTCAGAAGGGTATCTGTTGTAGGAGGCCGCTTGTTTGTTTCCCAGCTGCCCAGACTCCCAAAATAATCACACAGAAACCATATTATTTGCAATACTGTTTGGCTAATAGCTTAGGTGTAT